TGGAGGAAGGATAGCATCTTCAACAAATGGTGCTGGGAAAACTGGAAATCCATATGCAACAAAATGAAACTGAATCCCTTTCTCTCGCCATGCACAAAAGTGAACTCAAAATGGATCAAGGAGCTTGATATCAAATCAGAGACGCGCCGTCTGATAGAAGAAAAAGTTGGCTACGATCTACAGTCGGTGGGGTCGGGCTCCAAATTCCTCAATAGGACACCCATAGCACAAAAGTTAATAACTAGAATCAACAAATGGGACTTACTCAAACTAAAAAGTTTTTTCTCAGCAAAATAAACAATAAGAGAGGTAAATAGGGAGCCTACACCCTGGGAACAAATCTTTACTCCTCACACTTCAGATAGAGCCCTAATATCCAGAGTATACAAAGAACTCAAAAAATTAGACAATAAGAGAACAAACAACCCAATCGACAAATGGGCCAAGGACCTGAACAGACACTTCTCAGAGGAGGACATACAGTCAATCAACAAGTACATGAAAAAATGCTCACCATCTCTAGCTGTCAGAGAAATGCAAATCAAAACCACCCTAAGATACCATCTCACTCCAGTAAGATTGGCAGCCATTATGAAGTCAAACAACAACAAGTGCTGGCGAGGATGTGGGGAAAAGGGTACACTTGTACATTGCTGGTGGGACTGCAGATTGGTGCAGCCAATTTGGAAAGCAGTATGGAGATTTCTTGGAAAGCTGGGAATGGAGCCACCATTTGACCCAGCTATTCCCCTTCTTGGTCTATTCCCTAAAGACCTAAAAAGAGCATGCTACAGGGACACTGCTACATCGATGTTCATAGTAGCACAGTTCACAATAGCAAGACTGTGGAACCAAACTAGATGCCCTTCAATAGACGAATGGATAAAAAAAATGTGGCATTTATACACAATGGAGTATTACTCTGCATTAAAAAATGACAAAATCATAGAATTTACAGGGAAATGGATGGCATTAGAGCAGATTATGCTAAGTGAAGCTAGCCAATCCCTAAAAAACAAATGCCAAATGTCTTCTTTGATATAAGGAGAGTAACTAAGATCAGAGTAAGGACGAAGAGCAGGAGAAGAAGATTAACATTTAACAGGGATGAGAGGTGGGAGGGAAAGGGAGAGAGAAGGGAAATTGCATGGTAATGGAAGGAGACCCTCAGGGTTATACAGTGGAGGGGGTAGAGAGAGAGGAGGGGAGGGGAGGGGAGAGGTGGGGAGGGGGGAGGGTGGAGGATGGGAAGGGCAGCGGAGCACAACAGACACTAGTATGGCAATATGTAAATCAATGGATGTGTAACTGATGTGATTCTGCAATCTGTGTATGGGGTGAAGGTGGGAGTTCATAACCCACTTGAATCAAAGTGTGGAATATGATATGTCAAGAAATTTGTAATGTTTTGAACAACCCACAATAAAAAATTAAAAAAAAATATTTTTATTGGATCTTTTAATACATGACAGTAGAATCCATTTGACATAATTATAAAAGCATGGAATCTTTCTTGTTCTTCAGTCCTCAGTACTTCTTCTTCCTCTCCCCTCCCTTCACCCCCTGATCCCTTTCCTCTACTCTACTGATCTTTCTGCCATTTACCCATCATCATTTTAAAAAATAGATTTCTTGTGGATGTACATGATGGTGAGATTCACTTAGGTATTTTCATATACGTACACAGGAAAGTTATATCAGTTATGTCAGAGTCATTCCACTGTCTTTCCTTTACGCATCCCCTTTGTCTACTACACTAAACTTCTATTCTTCTTTTTATCCCCCCCTTATTATGAATTAGCTTCCACATATCAGAGAAAACATTCAAACTTTGGTTTTTGAGAATTGGCTTATTTCATTTAGCACAATAGTCTTCAGATACATCCATTTACCAGCAAATGTCATAAAGTCGTCTTTTTTATAGTTGAGTAGTACTCAATTGTGAATATATACTACATTTTCTTTATCCATTCATCTGTTGAAGGACACCTAAATTGGTTCCATAGCTTAGATATTGGGAATTGAGCTCCTATAAATATTAATGTGGCTGTATCACTATTGTATGCTGCTTTTAAATCCTTTGGATATATACCAAGGAGTGGGATAATTGGGTCAAATGGTGGTTCCAGTATAAGTGGCTTTTATTTTGCTATTTGCACATTTATGGTCTTTTTAGCTATAGTCTTCCCAAGTTTGGGTCATCTTTCATTTACTGTGCTGACTGCTTTTTTATTTGAAAGCTCATCAGTTTGAGAACATATTTCTACAGCATTTGAGAATGTTTTCCTCATTGGCTAGATATTGAACTTCTGAGATGAGGTTCTCATTATTTTAAAATCTTTGATATTTGATATCTATTTGATCTTTTAAGTTCATACCCAAATTTTTATAGAATTTTCTATTTCAGCTAAAATGCTTTTAATTTCCAGGAAGTTTTTTCTTATCCTCCATATGTACTTTTACATAACATTTTACAAATAAAGCTACAATATATTTCCCTCTATTTAAGGATATTAATTATAAGCTTTATTTTTAGTTTTTTTTTTGTTTGTTTAGTTCCATTTAGTTTTATGCTTACTATATTTTCTGTATTTGTTTGGAATTCTCTTTGTGTGGATATTCTCTTGGGCTTCTCTTTCTTTGAATATCTTCTCAAATGTCTGGTGATTCTTTACTAGTTGGTCAGATCTCAAAGCAGTGTGCCAAAACTTGGCTGGAAGCTGTGTGTGTGTGTGTGTGTGTGTGTGTGTGTATGCTTGTGTATGCTTGTGCACATATGCATATTTGCAGAGCTTTTTGCCTGGTGGGGTTCATTGCAGCACGATGGGATGGGGTCCTAGGGATTTACTGGAAATGTCAACTGCCATCTGTAGGTCATTTGGGTGGTAATTTTTCTCAGTCTCATCCTGGTGTAATATTGAAAAATAATGAAATTTCTGTGTTATCCTAATATTTTATAGGTGGTTAAGGTAGAGGTAGAGTGTTTAATCTTCTGTGAAGCACAAGGACCAAGGACCAGTTGGAGTGTTAGGAATTTTCATGTGATAAATGGCACCCAGCAAACATGTCACATGTATTCATTTCCCATCTGCTGGTGAGAGTTGTTGCAAAGCAAAGGGAACACATTTTTTTTTTAATGAAGAAATAAAAGCAGCATCAGCAACAAGAAGGAGAAAGAGGGATGGAAAGAAGAACAGGGGAGGAAGTAAAAGAAGGGAGAACTGGAAGACAGGAAGAGGAGGAGAGGAAGGAGTAGAGAAAAGAAAGGGGGTGAGAAGAGAAGGGATGGGAGTCGGAGCAGGAGGAGAGAGGGGTAGGAAAAGTGGAAAGGGGAGGTTAAAAGAGGGAAAGGGAGAGGGAGTTGAATAAAGGTGACATGTGGTCTGTGCTTTTGCATTTTCCTTAAGGTAACAACTGTTGAATTTTCTGTCTTGTTTCATCCAGTGTGTCTTGTAAGAAACCCTTTCGTTCAGCCAGATAGTGCTACTGGCTATCTCCATAGTGCAAATAGAACCTGCCTAGCTTTACATCCCATCGTGTATTAATAGTCCACAACTTTTTATTACCTCAAGAATTATAAAGTCATGCAGAGTGGGACAGATATCTATTTATTTTTATTTTTTCTTGTCCATTAGTTAGAGTTCCTAACCAATTCCTTATACTACAGATACAAGCTTCTTCCTTTTATCCTCTTAATTATATTATAACCTCCTTGAAGGGAAAGACTTAGTCTTGTGCAAAGCTACCCAACTTATTGTGATAAAGGACCAGGTGTTTCATTTAAAAATTTTACCATCCATCAGAGTCTGAGACTTTTGTATGAAATCATATGCCTTGATGTCACAGCACTGTCAACATGCTGTAAAAGTTTTCAAATGTTTGTTCTTTGGTAGTGTTTACCTATCAGGTGTGAGACTCTGGGTTCAATCCTAGCACTACAGAAAAAAAATTACTCTTGCTTTATTTATCTAGTCATGAACTGGTATAAAATGATTCACTGATCAGCACTGTTTACTGAATCCACTATGAGAAGTACCAGAATCTGGTCCACTTTTTAATTTTGCTTTACATCTACCAATATGACTTTGGGCATTTTTACAATATGACTTTTGCACCGAATACCTCCTTTCTAAATATAACTGAATTGATATTCATTCCTGGGAATGAAGTGTCAATTAGAATAAAATGGCATTGTAATATCCACTTCTTGTTTTTAACCCCCGGTTTGTACTTCACAAGTCTCAATGTTAAGCATTGAACAGTGTTTCTCAAAATAAAGTAAACTGAAGAATATGAAGAACCTCTTAGATATATTTAAGTATATCTTACTTAATACCACTCTTCATCTGACATTGTCAAAAATAAACGTCTAATACTGAATTCTGCAGCAATAACCATTTAGTGTTGTGATCTTTACAATATGGAAAGAAAGCTCAATATTTAATAGGAAACTGTCCCTGTCTCATGGGCTAGTAGAGAATAGCAGCTGACATTGTTACCACATCATACTTTTCATACACACAGTGCCTGTCAAATAATGAATGGAAGTACTTAATGAAACTGGACAGCTGTTCATTGCACAAAGGCCATCAATACTATCAATCCTTTCTCTAGAGCTTCAAAGTCAAAGCTGGCAACTTAAGAAATCTAGGAGTGAATGCTTTGATTTATTGGGCCTCTTCTTAATCTATGACTTGATGGTCTTACATGGGAATCTGAAGTACTTAGCCTGCTACAGGCCTACCGAGATTAATGAGGATAATCAAAGGACCATGATTTACAGAACATATCTTTAAAATAGCTTCTCTGGGGAGCCTCATTTTTTACAAGGCTTTCAAGATTTTTAAGATCCAATTGGGTTATAGCATATACTTCGTTGAAATACTGCCTGCATGATATGATAATTTAGCCAATATCTGAAGAAATGTCCCATCAAGTGTTTCATCTTTTACATGCTTTTCATTGAAGCTAAAGGGAAACTGTAGTCAAGGTTTGCTTACCACTGCAATGAAATAACTTTCATTTTGAAGTTGAATGTGGCCTGTAGTGTATCTTGAATGTGATCAAGTAAAAATTGCACCAAAGAAGTAATGAGGTTTCTAAAAATAAGAAACATTTGGGGGTTAACTCTTCATTTTAATGTCTACTTTGGTTAGCACGTGACAAGATATAGCTGTTCAATACTTTGAGCTTTAAAAGAAAAATGTTCTAAAAAGCTCTTAAAGAATAAGTAATGCCTGACTTTTGCTAATATTTGGCAGTTACTGATTATACTGTGGTAACTGATTTGTTCTGTAGAGTTAAGCAGAAAATCCTTTTGAATCAAAAAGTATTTCTGTGCTTTGAAAATGGCATTAAAAGCATTGAAAAGGTCATATTTTGAGACTGATGAAATAAAGATCAGTCATTCTTACCGAGGTGATCAGAATGTGATTGAGAAGTAAGCCTTTAAAACTTGCCTAGCACTTTTATAATGCAAGTCTGAGATTCACAGTGTCTCTAAAAAGTAATAAATAACTTTTAATGTATGTGATTATTTTCCTGTATAATTAAAGCTATTATTTAGACATCCATAATGATTCAAATGAACCTGAAACTCAGAAGGGAGCATAGTGTTAGTATTAGAAATTAGCAGCTCTTTCAGCAAAGGCCTCAGACTGGCTTCATTCCCAAATGGCTGTAAATGTTTTGGGTGTCTTCATGGAGATATTATCATATCTCTGCATCTCAGCTTTCCTGTATTAAAAGAGTGATGATATCACTTTTATCCATATGAGAATCAGTAAAGATTCATTGACTAACACAGAATAAAGGATAATCAATTTTGAACTCTTAAGATGAGTGTTATTTACACTCTTGAGAAATTACTTAGATAATCAAGTATGATTCAATTAGATATTCAGCTTTAAGTATATTTTATGTTATTAAAAAAGGAAAGAATTTATTCTCTTTAAGAGAGCTTACATAGTTTTCTTTCCTTTGAGGTGGGTCAAAGGTGGTCAAATCAATGAAATCAAAGCACTTTTTATTTTGTGTTTTCATTTCTAGTGAGGTATTTTTTATTGATTTTTAAAAGAAAAATAAATGACAGCGGAATGCATTACAATTCTTATTACACATATACAGCACAATTTTTCATATCTGGTTGTATATAAAGTATGTTGACACCAATTCGTGTCTTCATACATGTACTCTGGATAATGATGTCTATCACATTCCACCATCATTGCTAACTCCCCCTCCCATTTCCTCCCACCCCTCTGCCCTATCTAGAGTTCCTCTATTCCTCCCATTCTCCCCCTCCCTACCCCGCTATGAATCAGCCTCCTTATATCAAAGAAAACATTCGGCGTTTGTTTTTTGGGATTGGCTAACTTCACTTAGCATTATCTTCTCCAACACCATCCATTTACCTGCAAATGCCATGATTTTATTCTCTTTTATTGCTGAGTAAAATTCCATTGTATGTATGTATGTATGTATGTGTATATATATATATATATATATATATATGCCATATATTTTTTTATCCATTCATCTACTGAAGGACATCATTTTTTTTTTGAGAGAGAGAGAGAGAGAGAGAGAGAGAGAGAGAGAGAGAGATTTTTTTTAATATTTATTTTTTAGTTTTCCGCGGACACAACATCTTTGTTTGCATGTGGTGCTGAGGATCGAACCAGGGCCGCATGCATGCCAGGCGAGTGCGCTACCACTTGAACCACATCCCCAGCCCCTAAATTGTTTTATTCATATAGACACTCAATAAATATCTCCTCTTTCATCAGTCAGACTATGTGATTACTTTTTCCAATCTAGCCTGATAGTTTAAAAACTTCATGACTATACTTGGGGGTGTAGCTCAGTGAAATAATACTTTCCTAGCATGGGTAATGCCCTGATTCCATCCCCAGTACTTAAACAAACAAAAACCCTCATCATCTATGAAAAAAGTGCTGGTAGCAATGTGGAAACAATAGTATTTGAGTAAGTTAATACACCTCTTAAAGTTTTGGTGGATTTAAATTTGATTCCTAACTCCACTTAAGATTAGCTCCCCTCATGAGTGAGAACTTATGCATGTCAAATATGTTTCTTTATTTATTATGTATGGTTATATGATGTCTGTAAAACAAATTGTTTCAGAAATGTGTGATATAAAGTGTTCATAAGCCTTTCACAGACTTTAAAGGGATTGTAAGACTTGTCCTTTTAGACCCATTTAGCTGTGAGGATTGAGGATTGAGTTTGTTCTACAAACAAGAGTTTAGAGGATACAAACATTAGCCAATATTATTTAATTTTGCAATTTTAATAACATTTTATTTTAAATAGACTCATAGCCTATAGAACATCATATTTGTTTGGGGGTAGAATGGATTTAATGATTGAGTAGGTTCTCTCTCTGTCTCTTTCTGTCTCTGCCTCTCTCTTTTCATCTCCCTCTCTCTAATAACATAATGACATTATGATCAAAGATCTCATCCAAATTTTTGGGAGGAAGAGGTTGCCCATGATATATAACAATGCCAATTTTCAATGTAAAACTGATATGAATTGTGACATTTGGGTTAATGTGACACTTTATTATATGAACAAATTAGATAGTGGTGGAAGTGCTGATAACACTCTTTTGAAATATCATCAGCTATAAAGTACTGCACCACTGCTTTCTTTATAAAAAGAGCTTAAATAAATCTATTTAATGATCCTATGCATTTTCTTCCCTCCATGTAACACTATATTCCTGCCTGCTATAATCTACAATTATTTCCTTTTCCCTGAGGAGAACATTTCACTGAAGAAAGAAAAGCCATTTCAGTCACAATCAGATGCTCTATTCCTGAGACATATTTTATTTGTAAGGACTGAGGATGACTCTTTTTGATGACTAGACTATTTTATTATTGAAGAGTAATGATTTCGTGCTTCTTAAAATGTGTCCTGGAGCCCATGCATTCAAGACATCACCATCAAAATATGCACATACATGATTGATTACCCAATTTATTGGTGATATTGTATGTGCCATCATGGTGCAGTTTAAATGATTTTGACAAGTACAGAAGAGTGTCATTGACAGGTGCAGAAATAAATGATGGGTTTAAGCTTTCAAATGTTTTTACAGCATTTCACTGAGTGGCAGGTTGATAAATTAAAATTACAGTTGTAGCATTGGGCCTGAAAACACAACTGTTTTAGATTACAAAAATAGTGCTGTGGAAACTTTGTATACTCTCCAGAGAAGTAGCCTGAAGGGCCCTGGAAAAAAAAAAATGAAGCAAGTGCCGTTGCTGAAGAAATCATTAATTTTGTGGTGGCACTGTCTGAGTCTAAAACAACGACGACAACAAGAAAAAATAGATTTTTAGAAGAGGAAAATTGGCTTTATTTCCTTCTTCCCTTTTCCCCCTGGAGCTGTATAGAAAATTGAAACCACACCATCAAAAGACAGGCATTGGATTGGCTATTAGTGATTCCAGGATGTCTGATGGTCATATTTAAAGCTAAGGGACCATTTCTCATCAACATTTTCATGGTTTCTACACTGTTCCTGGACTTTGGCTTTGTCATCTGTTGCCATTATCCCACCCAGCCCAATTGACAAACCTCAAAGAAATCACCCAATCAACTTACTAATTCTGATATTCTTAAAGAAAAGGATTTCACCTGACATTTTCTTCCATTCTTATTTGATTCTCTTCAATCTTGTTTTTTTGAAGTCACGCTTCAACTATAGTGTAGCTTTCTAAGTGGCTATACTATGGCCTCATTTTGGATGATATCCCACTTCAGTTAAAAACAAAATAAAAGGGGCAATAGATATGAACCAATGACTCTACTTTATCCATAAGATGGCAGCTAACTCAGTGTATTAGTATAATTTCTGAATTCATACCCTATCTTAACTTGCCTATCTTGCCTCTCGTGTCTCTTAATGAACTTCTCAAGCTTGCTAGATGGGAATCTTTGATTTGCTTAGTGTGATATCTTCTCCCCACTGTTTCTCACCTACTGCATTCTCCCAGGAATGCCAGTCTTAATACCTCTCAAATGAATTCTTGCATCTCTTAGGATAAACACAAGTCCTACTTAAAATTTTTCCTGACCATCTCATCAATTTCTTTAACTTCTCAATTCCTGAATTAAGACAACTCCTTAATTCCTGCCAATAATTTGACAGTATTCAAATAATTTTGCTTTTTCTTTTTAATGTTCTGCTACCCAACCATTCATAGGTCAGCATTGCTTTTCTTTTCCCATGATTCTATTATTAAAGTTTTTAATATCATAGTCCTGATAATCATTGCATAGAATATTAGCTGCAATTGCTATTCATTTTCTGTTTACTCATTGTTAAACAGACACTGTCCTGAGCACTTTGAGCATTGTTTTATTCATAACAACCAGGAATTAGATGCCCCTTTATGAGAGAAAATAGACCATCAGATGAATTAAACTGCCCATGCCACCTATATAAAAAAATGTTAGAAGATCATTCAAATCAAGGAAATCAAATCACGGAGTTTGGACTCTTAAAGCAGGTGGCTAATAGTATAATATATGGTATATGTTATTAAATGTAAGGTTTCCTATGGGTAAAAAACATGGGTAAAAATAAAATATGAATCTTTAACCTAATTAGAATGCTAAGGTTAGTAGGGCACAGTGACACATGCCTGTGATCCCAGTAGCTCAGGAGGCTGACACAGGAGGATCGCAAGTTCAAAACCAGCTTCAGCAAAAAGAGAGGTGCTAAACAACTCAATGAGATCCTTTCTCTAAATAAAATACAAAAAGTATGGCTGGGGATGTGGCTCAGTTCAGTCCCCATTGCCCCATAAGGTTAACAAAGTTTTCATAATAGCAGGAGTACATTGGCAATACAAGTTCAAGACTGGGAACAAAGGGGGGAAACATCATTCAAAGAAAATTATTTAATAAAACATAGTTGTTAGCAATTAAATGATTAATTTGGAGTTTTGCCACCCGACAGTGCTTATTCCCTGTTTAGACTTAGCAGAATAGATTTCATCCATCTCAAGAACATTTGAGATCCAGGTCTAACTGGCATGTGATCAGCTCACTCACAGAGCCAGTGTCATAAAAGAGATTATTGTATTAATTCTAGTATTTTTATCTTTGATGTACTCTTACAGATCTCCTAAGCAAACCTGGGAAATAATATATTCTGAGATATATCAATATGATTTTTAGTTTGTTCTACATTATTTAAATTATTCTGATACAGTTAAAAAAAAGTCTGAAAAAATTTTACCCTTGTGCTAGTCACTCTCATAATAAATTTACTCTTGAAAAACTCATTAACTGGAAGACTGGTATAATTCAGATTTCAATGCCAAACTACAATGAATTCTACATTGAAAGTCTTCTTTTAAAGAAAAAAAGTTATCTTTTTAACCTGCTGAAGAGGTGAGAAGAGATAATTCATGCAGGAATTTTCCTTTGGTCCCTTCAGTGTATTTAACAAGTGGCTCAGTGTTTGGGAAGTGTCAACAGTCACAGTGCTTGTACTTGAAGAGAACGCCTGCATTGTCTTGTCAAGTCCTTCTACAATGTGAATCGCAGACTTCAAATGAACAGGATCTTCCTCTTTCTCACATCTGTATTTCTCATTACAAAGCTGTAAAAAGCTTTTTAAAAGCAAGACTGGTTTTAAATTAAGATTTATATCTTAGAATCTTAATTGAGATGATCACTCTGTTCTTACTTACTTTTCTATATGCAAAGTTGATGCCTGTTTTCTTCTAGCTTATTTCCAAAATCAGAATCTGATGCTTCCTAAAAGGAAGTCTTTGTAAGCAAAAAGTTTTATTAATTGCTCTAAATTGCTACCAGGATAATTAGAATATTAGCCATTTAGTATTTGTTTAGCCCCCAAGCTTAAACACCATACTAAAATAAATGTTGCTCAACTTATTTTGCTAATCTTGAGTGAGTGACTTGGGCAAGAAGTTTAATATTTAAGTTTATTTTATTTATGATATCAACATACTTAATATGATATATTCATAATGAATTTATAAAACCTTTCAAATATAAAAGAACAAATTTATACATAATATTTAAAAATGATTTTCATTAATATTTAACAGACATTTATTAAATATTTAATATTTAAATTATATTTAAAGTTCTTTAAGATTTATAATATAATCCCAGCCTTAGGTCTTGGACACATCAAAATGAGATTTTATGCACCTTAGCCCAAGCAGTTTGGAGATGTCCATGACACCATCTGAGTTCTTTGCATCTGTCCTGGTCTCTGATGGGTGAATTCAAAGGCAGTCCTAGATCAGTGCTATCAACGCCACCATATGCATTTCAAAGCAGAAAGGGACTGTGAGAAGTTACCATTCAGAGTTATTAAGAGATTCCAGAGAGCTAAGTGTACATGAGGAATTGTGCATGGGAAGCATGTATGTATGCTCACTTTCACTGCATCATTGTCCTGGGAACAAAGTCAGACTCTGGGATGAGCCTTCCTGCCTCATTCTAGGCACATTATGGGAAAACTACATTACATGAGGCAAGGAGAGACTATAGTTTCTTTTTTCCTAATGATATTATTTTATTAATAATTTCTTCATGCATATGAAGGAAAACTTTTCTTATTTTCATGTATAGTCGTTGTTCTAAGATCTGAAAATATATAGTTCTAAGATCTGACATTTCACCTAACTTCTTTTTACAAATCCCTTGATCTTGTTCAGTAAGCAAACATTTTCTTTGATATTTTTTTCCTACTGGTATATTCAGATTTATTTTATGTTGTGAAATTTAAAATTTTTATTCCAAAATTAGTGTTGCATATTTATCAGAAAAAAAATTTGGTTGCTTTAAGAATAAATACACATTTAAAAGTATCAGTATGTCTATACAACAAACTTAAGTGATAATTATTAGTGTTTATTATTAAAACCTGAAACAATATCTGTAATAATCTTGTTCATAGCTTATTCTATCATAATTTCTATTTTTCCCTCTATTATAAATACTTCTGTTGGTGTTCACATGTAACTCAAAGCCCTATCTATAAGAATAGAGCTTTATCATCCACACTATTTCAGAGATCTCTGATATTTTAATAGAATTATACATATACCTTTTAGAACTGTAATAACATTTATGAGCAATACCTATGTGACAAGTACAGTGCTAAATGTTTCATCAAAATTATCTTATTTAATATCCATTTTACAAATAAGGATCTTAAGCTTGGGGGTTTGAGTAATTGCCTATATTAATGCACTTAGCTTGTAAGTGTCAGATTATGAGGGTAAAAGCCACTTTTCAGAAATACATATTAACAAACATTTTAGACACTTGGCAGGTGATGGGCTGAAGTATGCAATATTTGGCAGTGATTTGTTCATTAATATAATGCATATACTTTTATTGATTATAGGATTAAAATTAATGCAAGGTGTACAGGGGACAAACTCAATATCACATACTGATACCATAAACTGTAGACCATGCACTTATTCCCTTTCACATGTGACTATAAATTTGAAGTCATAAATCTGAATTGTAGTTGTTACAATAGACTTCTTGGTGCCTGGTGGGTTTATATGTGTCTATTATGTTCATTTTCACCACATTTTCTTGTTGAACAGGCAGGGGAGAGATTCATACATACTTTCTGACAAATAAAGTTTTTAAAATAATTTTTTTGGGGATCAGCAAATTTGGTTATAAGTTACAATATTTGGTCAGCAGAACCACTTGAGTTGCATGCTTTACCCCAGTTTACTTTTAAAATGTAGAAAAAGAGCATCAATATTTAATTAGTGTCATTCCAGTATTCTTACTTTAAGTATTTGTCAAGTTATACTTCATGGTTGTTTTATAAAGTTTTCCTCAGGACTCTAATGCTGAGTGTTCATCTCCTGATAAGTTGTAAACAAAGATTACTTAGGGTTTGTCCTTGTTCAATAGAGGCATGTAATAAAAAATGGATTCCATCTTAGAGTAGTCATGAGAATAGGACAGGTGGCAGAGAAGCTGTATTAAGTGAGGCATGAAGGGAAGTTATTTCAGCCCTCTTGACTCAATGGAGACACATATGCATTCAAAATAAAAGATTTCTTCAGGTTTAGAGATTTTTAACAATAGGAGCTGATGATCGATGTAGCAGAGTAGTATGCTCTAACGATTTTTTGGATCAAACCAACTTGACCTTTCATTTTTCATGAAATCCTGCAGGAAAATGCACATATATCATTTTTCCCCTTCCACCTTTCCTAACAATTATTTTGATTTCCATGATTTGAATGACTTTCTGAAATGCTTTTATGAGGAGTAGGAGGGAATTGGGAACCATTTTTTTCAACGTGTGATAGAAATACTCCAGGACTGCGAGAAAAGTAATAAAAGAAAATTGATCTGATCATTAAAATATCTAGCTCCATCTCATCTTTCTGGTCACTAAGACAAAAGTATAGTAGCTGCCTATATGTAACTTTTTTCCCCTATCAAATATAGCATGATTTCATTTTTATTGGAAATCATATCTTTCAACACTTTTTGATACAAAAACCAACTGTAATCAGAGTATGCAATTTCCCTTCATAAGAAATTTGAATACATGTCTAGTAATTATTTGATAGAACAGATAAAAACAATATAGCTTATTCTTAATTAGTTCTAAATGCCCCAAAACAGCACATGTGCATCCTTGTCAACAAAATATTGACATAGGACATGCACTGTGACTCAGAACAACGCCCATCAGAAGAGGCAAGCACTTGTCTTACCCAAATCTGCCTCAGGGTTCTTCAGCTTCTTGTTCAGAGAAGCAAAGAGTGTGAGTCAATTGGAGAAATAAAGTTAAATGACAGAAAAGGAGAAAAGATATAGGTTTTGAAGAAAGCTTTGGAGGAGAGCGATGAAACACTAAGTAGCATAGACTAAAAAGAAATAGTATACAAATGGGTAAACAGATTGGGAAGAGTGCAGCTGTGGTTTAGGGAATTTAAAAAACCCAATCTGTGCATCTTTCCATAATGAGAATATGGAAATTCACTTATTTATTTAGCTTTTACAAAAGATGTAGCATTTCACATGCATCCAGTAGCTGAATTTCTGAGGTCACAAAACAGCTGAGGAGCGTTTTAGTTAAGTCTGTATAAAACAAACAGAGCAATGTGGCATGCAATGATATGTTATGATTTTGAATACGGGGCTAAATGACTGCAAATATCATCTCAGAAGATCTTGTTAATTTGAATTAAATAATTAATATTTAAAATATTTAGACATACTCACCCAACAGACAGGAAAGGCTCCTTTGATTCAAGTCTATGAAAAAATATATGAAAAATTTATTTTAATATAACAATTTGCTGTACACTCAAAATTGCTTTTACATGAATCTGACTCATTGGATGGAAATACATGGTTTAGCAGTAGAAAATGCTGTAAATAATATATTAAAATTTAATCTGAACTAATTCAAATTCTGGCTGGATAATACATAGGCGAAGTAAAATGAGAGAGCCTTGGAATGGGTGACATTTAAATAATATATTAAAATGAAAATAGTGTTAGTCTAATTCCAGTGTGTACTCTCTGTATCTTATTTTCTTTATTCGTGATAATTTGTGGAACTTTCAATATAACTATTTGAAGTTGTAAAAGCGAAAAAATCTATAATGTTTTCGGCTACACATTGGCTGAATAATTGATTTTGAGGGTAAATACTCTTTGATGAAGAGAGAAGCAGCATGTCATATGTGGTCATTTAGTGGCAGTAGCTTTCTTGGGGTGGGGGATGTGGTAGTGTTGGGTCATAGATTAGGGTTCTTCTTCCTAAGAACTGGGTATTCTCGCTACCTCATAACATATCAAAAGTGAAGTCTAATCCTGAAGGTTCTGGATAGTTGTGACATCTTGAGAAAGCTACTTAAAAAAACACTACAGATTATTTTTCCTCATCATAAAATGGGCCAGAATTGCTTCCAGCTAATAACTTGTATTTTTTAAAAAGAGAAATAAGACTTGAGAAGATCCATTTGTACATATTTTCAAATTAATAATTAAGGAGACCACTTAGTTGGCATATATTGGTCATGTTATTTTCATTGTGGGTTTCTTAATGTACAGTTATGGTTAAATGTAGACAAATACTGAAGACATTTTAAATACATGCTGGTTTCAGGTTTTAAAATATTTAAAAATATATGAATGGTTATACGGAAATGTCAAGAAATTTAGTTCTGTAGCATTACTGCATATCAACTGACTATTTTACATAGTAAAATGGACAATTAAAGTGACTGTCTTAGAATTAGTTTAAATCACTATTTTGTTTTTACTTCATTCTGTATTTGGAAAAATATAGCTTATTAGAATTATGCCTTGGTGCACGATGGGAAGAGGTGGCATGAGTTTCTTCCGCATGCCATCTTGCTTTGGGTGAAGAATCATAGCAGCAGGGGAACTTTTATAGGGAGCCAGTACCCTAGCAATCCCCCTGCAGAGCTGCAGGTGGGGGAGAAGATAAAAACAACAGTTGGTGCAAATAGTTTAGAGGCGCATATTTATGTAACCTTTTCCTTTTGTAGACTCCAATGTTATTGACATCTCTACCTTCATGTAAATGAATTCCCATAATGTGTTATTTTTCTTATTTGTATTATAGATAAGCCAAAAGCAGTAGGGAGAAAAAGTTGAAGATAAGTAATAAAATATTTGGCTGCATTTACTTTACAAAACATGGCAAGTGCCAAGTGATCTAAGGAAAATGACATGACAGAAATTAAAGGGATTCTATATAAGGACTAAGAAGACTGTTTACTTATTTGAACTATCACGATAATATCACTTCTCCCTCATTTTGGTCTTATAACCCTTGAACAGAAGATAACATGTGAACACTAATGGAATTCCTTTTCTCTGGACTTTTCAATAATTTCAGCCTATCATTTTTCAGATTTAGGGTGTGTGTGTGATTGGCTTGTGTGAAATGATACCGTCGAGCCACCCACACCATATATTTAAGAACTATATTATACAAATTCCTTTTGGGTATCATAAACAACTGGAATAAAAGTGAGGCCCACTACATTTTGTCTTTGCTTTGAAATTGTCCAAACGTTGTGTTCAGAGAGTATTTGAAATAGTAATTATTGATGAACTTTTCTTTTTTTCTGAAGGACTCAGACATGTTGCTGTGGATGGGAACATAGAGGGACACATGTCCCACTGATCCCAGTGATTCCTATGGCTAGTTTAGCTAGCTAATTAGCAGCTCCTTCTCTACTGTTTCACTTACCACTTTGATTGTCTCCTTCCAAATGTTTAATAGCATCAGAAGAGAACACAGTTTTCAAAATAATGTTGGATTGAGAGTTTTGATTGATTCTGTCTGTAAACGAGGGATTTGCAAACTTTGACCTACTGATCAAATCCTATATACCATCTTCTTTTACACAAATCACAAATTAAGAATGGTTTTTACATTTTTAAAAGAGGTTGGAAAATATCAAAGGAATGATATTTTGTGACATGTGAGAGTTATATGAGATTCAAATCTTAGTATCCCCAGTAAAGCTCATTGGACTCATTGTAATGCAGCCATTCCATTTCATATAAATATTGTTTAAGGATTCTTTTGTGCTACAGAAGTAAGTTGAAGAGTTAGTTGTGACCAAGACTTTATGTTCACAATCCTAAATATTTGTTATATGTCTTTTACAGAAAAAGTGTACTAACGCATGTCATATAATTATCTTATTGGAAGGAAATGGAAATAACTTCTTAAATTGAGGCAATTCTTATTTTTAATGCCTATCAAGATTTCTCCCAGATTTATCAATTCAGAATAATTTGAATTTCTTTCTACACCAACATTTCAGCCTCTGAACCTACTGACAGCTAAAATTCTATTGTAATGACACCACCTTTTTTGACAATTTCCACAACCACAGGAAAATGCCCACACATTTTTGTGCTTCACAAATGTGCCCACACCTTTTTTGCCACATTGTTCTTTTTCTTACTCAATGCTTTATTATAGAGAAATCATCTATTTATTTTGCAGACACATCTAGTTTAACTTTGCATTGGTGCTTTTGCATGTTCTATTTCCATTCCAGAATACTGATTTCCTTTTCTTCCCTTTGCACAATCTAGTTATCTTCCAAGTTTCTCCTTTTAACTCCCACTAACAGCTTCATCTTTAGGGACAATTCCATCTGAGCTTCTAATACTTCCCTCCATCATTATGATATATTTTCAGGACAATAGTTTTGGATTGAGAAGTGAACTTAGAGTCTGAGTAAGACTGGTAAAAATATATTTTTTTGAATTCATTTATTTGTTATAATCAGTTATACATGACAGCAGAATGCTCTTTGATTCATTGTACACAAATGGAGCACAAGTTTTTGACTTCTCTGGTTGTACCCAAAGAAGGGTCACAACTATTTGTGCAATCATACATGTACCTAGGGTAATGATGTCTGTCTCATTCTACCATCTTTCCTATCCCCAGACTGGTAAAAATATTAAACCTGTATCTCTGCTTAGATAAGAGACTCCCAATAGTTTTGTGTTAAGCCTGCAATAGGTCCAGTCTGGAGATGCTCCATAAACTGAACAGAAATAAGGGATAATTGCTCATTAGTCACTCTAAGCCATAGAATATAAGTCCTAGTACGAATCCCAAGCATGTTCCATGCTCACCTGCAGAGCAGGAAACCTTGGAAGGGAACCACCATCCAGCAACTACCACATGTCTCACCTTCAACATGAAGATACTTCAGAGCACGTGACAACTGACCCAGGTTGGGTGAGGATTTGCTTTGTAACTGGTTGCTTAGTCATGATTCATTGCATTGAGTCAAGTTCCTTAGCTTTGATATGTTTCAGAGAACCTGACCACTCTCATCTTCCTCAAGTATGTAGCAAACATCCTAACCAACTCAAGGGGTTACTGTGAAGAATAAGGAGTTATGTATTTAGAGTATCTAGCACAGTTCCTGGAACAGAATAAACCCCTATGGTCATTTGCCAAAGACAAATTCTTAATTTTAAATGCAGAAACTGTCTGAATGTATGAAAAGCTCATTTCAGTAATTTTAGTCTCTTAAACTGAAAAACAAAGCACAGGAAGAAAATGAGGAGATACATCTCTTTGGAGAAAATTGTTCATCAATTTAGTTTTAGAAACAGGTGATTATATTGCTATATGCCTAGAGAGAACTTTCCTAAGGTTGTTTTACAAGGTAATTGTTTTGTGAAGAAAGGGATTGATTTTATCTTTCTTAAGATTTACTTTTCACAGTGAATTTAATAATACTTCATTTAGGACCCACTAGAATTTAGGAGCAGAATAAGATAAACAAACCATAGCCTTCAGAAAAAGTAAGAAATAGGAGAGACATAAAATAGAGCAAGAATGAAGATCGATACGTGGTACTAAAAGAATTATAACATTTCACACTTAACAAAAAATAAGCTGTGTTTATTAAAGGCCAGGTATTATTCAAAATGCTTTTGAAGTACTAATTTATTTAAAGATTGTTATACCCTCTGAACAGATGAAGAAACTGAGACCAAAAGATGATAAGTACTTTGCCCAAAGTCACAAAGACAATGGCTGAGTTAGGATTTGAATTTAGGACTTCTGGCTCCAAAGTTCGTGCCTCATGCCTCCCATCCTGGGCTATATCTCAGATCCCCTTTGTATGTGTGTATATTTTTGTTCACATGTGCCTTATGGCACTGTCATACTTTCTGTATTAATACTTCTGTGCTCCACTGGGATATCTCATCTGGTTTTAAATGTAGTCTACATGGTACCCAAAGCAATTACAGATTCAATGCAATTATTATTAAAATTCCAATGACATTCCTCATGGAAATAGGAAAAGCAGTCATGAAATCCATTTGGAAAAATAAGAAACCCTGAGTAGACAAAAAAAAAATTCTTAGAAAAGTGAAGCAGGAAGCATCACAATACCAGACCTTAATTATACTGCAGAGATATAGTACCAAAAACAGCATGAAGCCAGGCACAGTGGTACACACCTATAATCCCAGCACCTTGGGTGTTTGAGACAGGAGGATCTTGAGTTCAAAGCCAGCCTCAGCAATGGTGATAAGCAATTCAGTGAGACCTTGTTTCTAAATAAAATACAAAATAGGGCTGGGGATGTGGCTTAGTGGTCGAGTGCCCCTGAGTTCAGTATGGAGTATCCCTCCTACTTCCCCCAAAAAACCCAGCATGGTATTGGCAGCAAAAACATGCAAGAAGACCAGTGGAACAGAATAGAAAACACAGGGACAAACCCGCA